TCCATGTTGTTATTTGGTATCTGGTGACTAAGAGTTGGCTCTAGTAAAGAATAAAGCTGGCCAGGGCCGCGCTAATCCTAGGCTAATCCTCCGCCTTGCGGCGCTGGCACACCGGGTTCTAGTCCCGGTCGGGGCGCCGGATTCTGTCCCGGTTGCCCCTCTTCCAGGCCAGCTCTCTGCTGTGGCCAGGGAGTGCAGTGGAGGATGGCCCAAGTGCTTGGGCCCTGCACCCCATGGGAGACCAGGAGAAGTACCTGGCTCCTGCCATCGGATCAGCGCGGTGCGCCGGCCGCAGCAGCCATTGGAGGGTGAACCAACGGCAAAGGAAGACCTTTCTCTCTGTCTCTCTCTCACTGTCCACTCTGCCTGTCAAAAAAAAAAAAAAGAAAGAAAGAAAGAAAGAAAGAAAAAAGAAAAGGAATAAAGCTAACTAGTCCCCATGGGGATTGAACCCATCTACCCTTATTAACACACAGTTAATCAACCACAAAAATAGCTACCATTAAGGAAGAGGCACTTCCATTTATTTACAGACTACCTGATGTATGCCAGGCATTGTGCTATGCACGCTTTAGGTAGATTACTTCTCAAACTTCACAATAGCCTTTCAAAGTAGATTCTCTCCCTATTTTACAAATGTGGAAACTAAGAACCAGAATGGTTAAAAAAATAAAACTGTAAGACAGCTTTTGTTCAAGGTCTTACAACTAGTAAGTGAAACATCTAGGACCTAAATGCTGCTCCTTCTGTGTCAAAAGGCTCCTACCTTGCATATAAAAATACTGAATTAACAATCAGCTCTAAACAAACCAAAAGGTAGCACGGCAGAAGGGAAAAATAAAGAGGTGATAATCTCAATTTGGAAACAATATTTGGAACATCTATATTCACAAATAATTTAAAGTTATCTGGGTAATACAAACAAAAGATGATTGTGTCTACTATTACTGTGAATATCTTCACTCACAAAATAATTCAGACTCATTCACTATGGCTTAATTAAGAGGTGAAAAATTTTAATCAAAGCAGCAAAATATTCCTGAAAAAGAAGGAAAAGAAAAAAACAAGTATCAAGGGCCAGCACTGTGGCACAGCGGGTAAAGCTGCTGCCTGCGACACTAGCATCCCATACGGATGCCGTTTCAAGTTCCAATTACTCCACTTCTGATCCAGCTCCCTGCGAATGGCCTGGGAAAGCAGCAGAAGATGGTACAAGTATTTGGGCTACCGACACCCACACTGGAGACCTGAAAGAAGCTCCTGGCTTCAGCCTGGCCCAATGCTGGCTATATCTGGAAAGTGAACCAGCAAATGAAAGATCTCTCTCTCTCTCTCTCTCCATCCGTCTCTGCAACTCTGACTTCCAAAAATAAATAAATAAAACAATGTCTTAAAAGAAAATAAATTCTCATTGATAATTTTTAATCATGTTCTTCCTGTACAAAAAGGAAAAATAATACATAACTGTGGTACATACAGAATAAATATTGGTAAGCTGTAAAATAACTTTTGCTTTATAGAATTAGTAACTAATAAAATCAGGTATTAGTTGACATTAATGTGGCCACATGAACAGTATTGAAATATTATTTATTTTTTGTTTTAAAATATTTATTTATTTATTTGAAAGGCAGAGTTACAGAGAGACATAAGGAGAGACAGAGAGATCTTGCATCTGCTAGTTCACACCCCAAATGGCCACATCAGCCAGGGCTGAACCAGGCTGAAGCAAGGAGCCTCCTCCAGGTCTCCCACATGGGTATAGGGGCCCAAGGATGTCAGCCTTCCTCTGCTTCTTTCCCAGGCACATTAGCAAGGAGCTGGATCAGAAGTGAAGCAGCCAGGACTCAAACTGGTGCCCACAGGGAATGCCAGCACCACAGGCCATGGCTTTAACCTGCTGTGCCACAGTACTGGGCCCAAAATATTATTTTTTTATAGATTTACTTATTTATTTGAGAGGCAGAGTTACAGAGAGGGAGAGGGAGAAAGAGGGGAAGAGAGAGAGACACACACACACACACACACACACAGACCTTCCATCCACTGGTTCACTCCCCAGATGGCCACAACAGCAGGAGCTAGGTTGATTCAAAGCCAGGAGCCAGGGCCAGGATTCCAGAGCTTCTTCCGGGTGTCTCATGGGCTACAGGGCCCCAAGCACTTGGGATATCTTCCACTGCTTTCCCAGACCATTAGCAGGGAGCTGGATTGGAAATGGAGCAGCCAGGACTCAAACTGGTGCCATATCAGATGCTAGAGCCACAGGCGGAGGCTTAACCTACTGTGCCACAGCGCCGGCCCCAAAATATAATTTCTTTAAATGTCATGTTACATTAAATATTTTTTATCTCTAGAATTAGAATTGCTCATTGATGAGAAGTTATGCAACAAAGAACTGTACAAAGAAGTGCTGAATTAAACAGTAGTCAAAGCAACCTCATCTAGGCCACAATAACAAGATCATTTAAGCTAACATTTTTTTTTAACTTTTATTTAATGAATATAAATTTCCAAAGTACGATTTATGGATTACAATGGCTTCCCCCACATACCGTCCCTCCCACCCACTACCCTCCCCTTTCCCACTCCCTCTCCCCTTCCATTCACATCAAGATTCATTTTCGATTATCTTAATATACAGAAGATCAGCTTAGTATACATTAAGTAAGGATTTCAACAGCTTGCTCCCACACAGAAACATAAAGGGAAAAATAATAGATGATTTTTTTTAAATGATGATGAAATCAGATCAGACCTATTGTCATGTTTAAAACCAATGAGAGTCAAGTTGGGAGTTGATAATTTCATTCCTGTTTTTTTATACAGAGGATCAGTTAGTATACCTTAAGTAAAGATTTCAACAGTTTGCACCCCCATAGAAACACAAAGTGAAATATATTGTTTGAGTACTCGTTATAGCATTAAATCTCAATACACAGCACATTAAGGACAGAGATCCTACATGAGGAGTAAGTGCACAGTGACTCCTGTTGTTGACTTTACCAATTGACACTCCTGTCTATGGCATCAGTAGTCTCCCTATGCTCCAGTCATGAGTTTCCAAGGCTATGGAAGCCCTCTGAGTTCTCCAATTCTTATCTTGTTTAGACAAGGTCATAGTCAAAGTGGAGGTTCTCTCCTCCCTTCAGAGAAAGGTACCTCCTTCTTTGAAGACCTGTTCTTTCCACTGGGATCTCACTCGCAGAGATCTTTTGCCAGAGTGTCTTGGCTTTCCATGCCTGAAATACTCTCATGGGCTTTTCAGCCAGATCCGAATGCCTTTAGGGCTGATTCTGAGGCCAGAGTGCTATTTAGGACATCTGCCATTCTATGAGTCTGCTGAGTATCTCACTTCCCATGTTGGATCACTCTCCCCTTTATTTATTCCATCGGTAAGCTAACATTTTTTGAGACCTACCTACCAGGCATGAAATTCTCATCTTTGTGCTACTTTCTGGAAATGCAAAGAAATCAAAACCATCTAAAAGGTGTTACAAACTAGCAGGACAAGCAGAATTGCAAAAAACTGCAATTCAAGGCACAGCACCAAAAATATCAGTGTAAAAGTCTTTAGTGAGATTGAACGAGTTATGATCTGACTAGGGAAAGCAACAAGCTGTTAAGATCAGCATTTCAGCCAGGTCATGATGATAAGGATTCTTCTGGGTTAAAGAAGGGAAAATGAAATGAGTTGGGGAGGGGCCCATACATTCCAGGGATAGCCTAAGCAAAGCCAGCTCCTCACATGCTTTTAAAAGTAAGTGGCCTGGGGGCCAGCACCGTGGCTCACTTGGTTAATTCTCTGCCTGCAGCACCAGCATCCCATATGGGCGCTGGTTCTAGTCCCGGTTGCTCCTCTTCCAGTCCAGCTCTCTGCTATGGCCCGGGAAGGCAGTGGAGGATGGCACAAGTGCTTGGGCCCTGCACCCGCATGGGAGACCAGGAGAAGCACCTGGCTCCTGGTTTCAGATCGGCGCAGCACCAGCCACAGCGGCCATTTGAGGGGTGAACCAACAGAAGGAAGACCTTTCTCTCTCTCTCTCTCTGTCTATAACTCTACCGGTCAAATAAAAAATAAAAAAAAAAAGTAAATGGCCTGGAATAACAATACACAATGTGTTAGAGAATTACAGGAGATCAAGGTTGAAAATATAATTTGGGGTCACATTATAGATAGGCCTCACTATACCCTTTCTAAGAAATTACAGGTTATTTGGTAGAAGGTGGGAAGTCCTAATTTTTTGAGAAGAAGGATACTTGAATTATAGCATTATATTCAGGAATCCATATTAGACAATTTGTTTCCAAAACAAGGAAACTTCAAGAACTACAGACAATGGATCTGCTAAGTTTATAAAATGTGAAACTTGTAGGAATTTGTTTAGCAGTTAAAAAAGTAGTGAGGATGCCTGCATCCCATTTCAGGGTGTGTGGGTTTGAGTCCCAGCTCCACTTGCAATTCTAGCTTCTTACTAATGTGCCCAATGAAAGAAATCAAGTGTTTGGGTCCCTGCCACCAACATGGGAGACATGGATTGAGTTCCCAGCTCTCAGCCTCGGTCTGGTCCAGCCTCAGCCACTGTGGGCATTTGGGGATGGAGCCAGTGAATGGCAGCTCTACCTGTCTATCCCTCTCTCTCATCTGTCTCTTGAAGAAAAAGGAAGAAGGAAAGTGTGGCCGGAGCGGGGGGGGGGGTTATTTTAAAGAGCGGTAGCAACTACAGAATTATCAGAGATCTCCATAAATAAAACAGTAGTTTGGATAAACTCTATAACCTTATTATAGCTCTGAGTTCATAAAGTTGATTTTTAGCTGCATCAGTTCATTAATGCCTTAAGTTATCATTTCTCAAATTTGTTCTAAAGAAGAACCCACATTTTACCTTTCACAATGTCCAAAATATTAGACTTCATCAATCAAATATACCAAATTTAAGAGGAACCCTGGGGATTTGTGTTAAAACTACATGTTAGCAGAATTACAAAAAAGCAAAAACCTGTGATGTATGGGTCTTTGCAAGTGGAGAAGTGCATGCTTCTTGAAATTGATCTTCATTAATTCCGATGTCTTTAAGGTAACTTTCCAACAGTTTTTCAACCTAAAGAGAGAAAGATTAGCTTTTATAATTTACAAAGGAAAATTCTAAATGACAATTTTCATATTCAGTATTATCTTTATAAAAGTATAACCAATGCAAATATCAATCTCCATATTATATTATGTGGTAGTAACATTGTCTTTCACCAAAAAACAAACAACAAAAAGTTAACTTTGGGGGAAGAATCTCATGAAATTTAATTCCTTCTATGAGAAATAAATGAAGTCAGGATTATGAAGTTCCATGTGACACAACTCTCTTTCTACCCCCAGGTAGTTTAAAAAAATCACAAGACACCGGTTACTGAATAAATTACTAACACCTCCCTGGAGGCATCAAAAGAATAAGAATAAAATTTAAAAATCAGATTATTTGGAAAAACAGTCCTTAAGTTCCACAGTAGATGAGGCAAGAAATCATAAGGAGATGCTCAGAGAACGTCTGAGCCTGATAGAACTGGCAGTACTGTTACGGTAAACTGGATCTTTGTGAATAATGCTAATGAAAAAGAATCCATTTTCAAATTTAGGAAAGTATAAATATTATCCTAATTACCTTTAAAAATCAGTGAAAAAAATACTCACTAGTTCTTTGTATTCCTGATGAATCTCTGTATAGGTTAACTTGCTTTCTTCTTCATCATCAAAAACTAAATTTAAAAGGAAAAAATATTGCATACTGTAGAGAAACAATCATTTCATTAATACAGATATAAAAATCTACTTCTGGAGCAGGTGGTTAGCCAATTAAGATGCTCATATCTTATATTGGAATACAAGGGTTTGATGCCCAGCTACAGCTCCTGACTAACTTGCCTCAAGTGGTAGAGTTTCCGTAACACACATGGGAAATCTAAACTCTGAGTTTCTGGCTCTGAGCTTCACCTCAGCCCAGAGGATGGGAGCTCTCTGTATGTTTCTCTAAAAAAATTAAAAAAAAAAAAACTTAACCTCCTTACAAATGGAACTGCAGTATTATTCTTATAGCCTAGCTTTTTAGCTTCAAATTCTTGGGTTTTTTTGTTTGTTTTGTTTGTTTGTTTTAAATATTTATTTGAAAGGCAGAGTTATAGAGAGGCAGAGGCAGAGAAAGAGAAAGAGAGAAAGGTCTTCCATCCGCTGGCTCACTCCTCAAATGGCAGCATCCAGAGCTGAGCTGATCCAAAGCCAGGAGCCAGGAGCTTCTTCTGGGTCTCCCACGTGGGTGCAGGGGCCCAAGGACTTGGGCCATCCTCTATTGCCTTCCCAGGCCATAACAGAGAACTGGATGGGAAGTGGAGCAGCCAGGACTCAAACTGGCACCCATATGGGATGCCAGCACTGCAGGCGGCAGCTTTACCTGCTACGCCAGTGGGCCAGCCCGAAATTCTTGTTTGTTTATTTTTTTAAAAAAAGAAATATATGTAAATAATATAGTATTAATTTTAAACAAGTTGTTTTCTCCAACTTAGGAAAATATTTAAAAGAAACACTACCTCATATTTAAGAACACTAATTTGCAACTTTCTAATCAATAATGCAATGTTACTTCAAAGGTTCATCGAAAATGGAATTAAAAGATAAATTTAGGGGCTAACGCTGTGGTGTAGTGGGAAAAAGCTGCCGGCTGCAGTGCTGGCATCCCATATGGGTGCCAGTTCAAGTCGCAGCTGCTCCACTTCCAAACCAGCTCCCTGTTAATGCACCTGGGAAAGCAGCAGAATATGGCCCAAGTGCTTGGGCCCCTGCACCCATGTAAGAGACCTGGAAGAAGCTCCTGGCTCCTGGTTACAGATTAGCCCAGCTCCCACTGTTGTGGTCATTTGGGGAATGAACCAGTAGATGGAAGATCTCATTCTAACTCTCAGGAACTCTGCCTTTCAAATAAATCAATAAATCTTGAAAAAAAAGAAATAAATTTATTTAGTAAAAAAAAATTGAAATTCATGCACACAAGGGTCTTCAGAAAGTTCACAGAAAACGATATTATTAAAAAAAAAAAAAAAACTAGGGCCAGTGCTGTGGCGTAGCAGGTAAAGTTGCTGCCTGCAGTGCTGGCATCCCATATGAGTGCCAGCTCTAGTTCCAGCTGCTCCTCTTCAGATCCAGCTCTCTGCTATGGCCTGAGAAAGCAGTAGAAGATGGCCCAAGTCCTTGGGCCCCTGCCCCTACATAGGAGACCCAGAGGAAGCTCCTGGCTCCGGGCTTCAGATCAGCGCAGCCCTAGCGATTGTGTCTACCTGGGGAGTAAACCAGCAGGTAGACGGCCTCTCTCTCTCTCTCTCTCTCTCTCTCTCTCTGCTTCTGCCTCTCTGTAACTCTGAGTTTCAAATAAATGAATCTTGAAAAAAACAAAAGCTATGTAAGAATTTCAATTTTAAGATTTATTTTTTATTTATTTGTAAGGCAGAGTTACAGAAAGAGAGAGAGAGACGGAGTGAAAGAGATTTTCCATTCTCTGTTTTACTCCCTAAATGGCTACAACAGCCAGAGTTGTGCCAGGCTGAAGCCAGGAGCCTGGAACTCCATCTGGATCTCCCATGTGGGTGCAGGGACACAAGCACTTAGGCCATCTTCTGCTACTTTCCCAGGTACGTTAGCAGGCAGCCAGATTCTACGGAGCATCTAGGACTGCAGCTGACACCCATATGGAATGCTGGCATCAGAGGCAACATCTGACCCCACTATGCCACAATGCCGGCCCCAAGGATTTCAATTTTTTTGCACCAAAATAAACTTAAGTCTTTGATTTTCCATTAACTTTGTTTTAAAAGGTTAGTTATTTACTTGAAAGAGAGTTCACTTGGTTCACTCCCCATGTGGCCTTGATGGCCGTGACTGGGCCAGCTCAAAGCCATGAGCCTGGAACTCCATCAGGGTCTCCCACATGGGTGGCAGGGACAAGCACTTGGGCCATCTTCTGCTGCTTTCCCAGGCACATCAGCAGGGATGTGGATCAGAAGTGGAGCAGCCAAGGGGCTGGCACTGTGGCTTAGCGGGTTAATCCTCCACCTGCAGCACCAGCATCCCATGTGGGCACGATTCTGGTCCCAGCTGCTCTTCTTCCGATCCAGCTCTCTGCTATGGCCTGGTAAAGCAGTGGAAGATGGCCCAAGCACTTGGGCTCCTGAACTCATGTGGGAGACCTGGAAGAAGCTTCTGGCTTCTGATCAGCCCAGCTTTGGACATTTGGAGAACAAACTAGCAGATGGGAGACCTTTCTCTCTGTCTCTCCCTCTCATTGTCTGTAACTCTATCCCTCAAATAAATAAATAATATCTTTAAAAAAAAAAAAGTGGAGCAGCCAGGATCTGAACAGGCATCCATGCAGAATACAAATATTGTAGGCAGTGGCTTAACTCACTTGCTGCGCTATAACCCTGGCCCCTCCATTAACTTTTAAGTGTGTTCAGATAAGGCAACAATATTTTTGTAAGCTTTTAATGAAATCTTATGTTTAAAACTTTTAAACGTTAATCCTTCTAAAACAGTCTCCAGCTTATTGTACTGGAATTTTTCTTATGAAAATTTTACTGAAAGTGATTAGCCCCTTTCTGTCACCATAGGTCGGTAATGATGTTAAACTTAAAAAACCAAAACGTGGAGCCAGTGGTGTGGCGTAGCAGATTTGGGCCTCTGTATTCACATGGGAGACCTGATAATGCTCCTGGCTTTGGCCTGGCCAGCCCTGGCTTTGGGACCTTTTGGGGGGTGAACCAGCAGATGGAAGATCTCTCTCTCTCTCTCTAACACTGCCTTTCAAAGATATAAATAAATTTTTTAAAAAACATGTGATTATATGTGTGAAATAATGTAGATTTCAAATATACATATTCCCTCAGGAAGCTACAATCTAATTAAGAAAACAGGACAGGGGCCAGCGCTGTGGCTTAGTGGGTAAAGTCGCCACCTCCAGTGCTGGCATCTCATATGGGTGCCAGTTTGAGTCCCAGCTGCTCCACTTCCCATCCAGCTCTCTGCTAGGGCCTGGGAAATCAGTAGAAGATGGCCCAAGTCCTTGGGACCCTGCACCTGCGTGGGAGACCCAGTGCGGCTCCAGCTATTGTGGCCAATTGGGGAGTGAACCATCGGATGGAAGACCTCTCTCTCTGCCTCTCTTCTCTCTGTGTAACTCTGACTTTCAAATACATAAATAAAATCTAAAAAAAAAAAAAAAAAATCCCAAGACAAACTCATGAATTGCAAACAATAAACATTTTTCATTCTCCCAGACTGATCTTTCTAACTTCTGCAATTTTCAGTTTAACTCTTCAACAACTGCTCATTACCAATAAGTGCAAAATCTTAAGCAGGTCTGAGAAGATTCCAGATCTCATTTCCTACAATCCAAGCCTCAGCCTCCTAACAATGCACAACTACTTGGAAGACCTCCAAGCATCATATATACCACTTCAAATCCCCATGACTTTGCATAAGTCCTGTCCTCTTTTTGCCTTTACTCCACCCTTTTTGCCCCCTTTCTCTCCCAACCACATTTCAAGATATTGCCCAGTAGCACCTTCTGCATGATCTGCTACCCACATCCAACTCCTAACCTGGTTAGATCCCTTCCTCTGATCTCTTACAATGTACACCACCATATGTCTTCCTTTATTATATCAACTGCTACACTGTATTTCATTCTGTTTACCAGCCTGTCTTCTCCACTAAACTTTTCAAGCACCGAATTTTGTTTTGTCTTTCTATCCCCAGCTTTTGGCCCAAGGATGACATTCAATAAATATTTGTTGAAATAAATGTTGGATTTATAAAGTTGTAGAAAACTGATATTGAAATTATCTGAGGTTGAGATTAGCACATAGGCAACGCCAAGTCAGTGAAATATAAACAGGTATTTGAAGTGTCCTTGGCATGTGATTTCTATTTACCCTGGCATCTGCTCTGTGTAGCACTGTACATATATTCAATACAACAACTACTTAGGCTGTTTTCAGTTCATTCTGAAACCAAATTACTACAGTACAAGTTTCTAAGGCTAAGATTTCTGCCTCTCAATAAAATTATACTATCCGGTATGTTATTACTGGGATACAGCCACTTTTGACACTTGTAGTTAAAAAGATAAACGATGCTTTAATTTTTTTCCCCTTTTTAGTATTTAGCCTCAGTGGGACAAACAGCAATAACAAGTGATATAATTTTTTTTTTGTTATTTTAAAGGATACTGGAATTCTAGGTGCATTATCAGTGTCTATTTTTTAATTGTTTTTAAAGATTTATTTATTTATTTGAAAGAATTACACAGAGATAGGAGAGGCAGAGAGAGAGAGAGAGAGGTCTTCCATCTGCTGGTTCATTCCCCAGATGGCAGCAACAGCCAGAGCTGCGCCGATCCAAAGCCAGGAGCCAGGAACTTCTTCCAGGTCTCCCATGCGGGTACAGGGGCCCAAGGACTTGGGCCATCTTCTACTGCTTTCCCAGGCCATAGCAGAGAGCTGGATCACAAGTGGAGCAGCCAGGACTCGAACCGGCACCCATATGGGATGCCAGCACTGCAGGCAGCGGCTTTACCCACTAGGCCACAGCGCCGGCCCCTTTCAGTGTCTTATAATTTCAAATTTTTAAAAGGAGTACAAATAAAATTATTTTGTTTTCAAAACCTCTTAAAACTACCTGTGAAAATCAACAGTTAGGGAGCAGGTGATCAGCCTAGCAATTAAGATGCCTGCATCCCACCTCTAAGTGCCTGGATTCAATGCTCCACTGCAGCCTCCTGCTGATGTAGACCACGGGAAGCAGCAGTGATGACTCCAGTAAGTTGGGTTTCTACCACCCAGGTGGGAGACATGGGTTGAATCTCCAGTTCCTGGCTCAGGCCTGGTCCAATCCAGTCCTGGTCATTGCAGGCCTTTAGGGAGCAGATAGGAGCAGGTTCTCATGTTCTCTCTCTCTCTCCTTCCCTCGTTCTCAAATAAATAAATTTTTTTTTTTTTACAGGCAGAGTGGACAGTGAAAGAGAGAGACAGAGAGAAAAGTCTTCCTTTTCTGTTGGTTCACACCCCAATGGCCGCTCGGCCAGCGCACTGCACTGGATCCGAAGCCAGGAGCCAGGTGCTTCTCCTGGTCTCCCATGTGGGTGTGCAGGGCCCAAGGACTTGGGCCATCCTCCACTGCCGTCTGGGCCACAGCAGAGAGCTGGACTGGAAGAGGAGCAACCGGGACAGGATCCGGCACCATGACCGGGACTAGAACCTGGTGTGCCAGCGCCGCAGGCAGAGGATTAGCCTAGTGAGCCACTGCGCCGGCCCAAATAAATAAAAATTTAAAAACACAACACTTAAAAACTGCTATTTTTATTTTTATTATGGCAAATAAGAATGTGATTAAAAAATCAGTGGCCAAACAAAATTTCATCTTTACCAGATTCATAGAATCTTGGGTTTGAAAGAAATCTGAAAAGGACATCCAAGATAACTAATCATTTGATAGTTGCAACCCCTCTAACAACTTAAGTCAATGTCAGATCCATTCAAAACCTGCTGGTGCCCGAGAAACCCATTACCTTCTGAGTAAGAAGAATACATTCTGTTAGGAAGCAAACCTTCCTTCACAGAAATCGGTTCCCCTATGTCTTGTACTCGGCGACTCTAACTCTAGTCCACCGAACCTTACAAAACAAGTCTAATCTCTCTAACGTAATACAAATGTTCAAATGACTGACAGATATCACAGCTCTCTCAAAGTCTTGCGCAGCTGAACAACCACAATAATGGCTGTGTGTGTACTCACCCCTAAGACACGGTTTCTGGTTCCTTTTCTATGAATGGGCACCAACCAGTCTCCAAGAACTGATTATAGAACTCTAAGCATGAGCTGATTAGAAACTTAGCCCGCACACCACCGCGAATATTATGCCACGTCTGTAAGCCTCACTGGGCAGAAGCGCACCCCTCTCCATTTGGGAGACAACCGAGATATGGAGAATTCAACAAGGGAAACAGACGTTTTGCTGAATGGTCACATGCTCTCCGTTGCTCATCGATCTCGGGTGAATCATTTCTCATCTCCTAGGCTGGCTGCACACGGACCAAATGCTAGCTAGCAATATGAAGGAACCTAGAGGTAAAATGACGCGTCCCCTCCCGAGCCACCAGAACAGCTGTTGAAAAAGCCCACCCCAAAAGTACACGTGCCCGGGGCAGGGACGAGCAGGGTAGGGTGAAAGACAGAACACAGGATTAAAGTCTTAACGTTTTTCGGCGTGCGCCTGGGCTCAGGGAGAGGGGAATCTCAGACTGCATTTTCAGGTCTGCGAGGGAAAACACCGGCGGGGTGAAAGCAACTGCTCCCGCACAACCAGCGCTAAACACGGCCGACAGGAGTGGAGACCACCTCCCGGCCAAGGGCCGGTGTGAGGGAGGCGAGGAAGGACGTCGGCGCGAGCTCTGGTAATTACCTTCACATTTCTGCTCCACGAAGTCCAAGATGGGGATGGACCAGTCCGGGCCTCGGAGGAACCCCGCGATGCTCTCCACCACCCATTCCACCTCGTCGTCTTTTTCCGCAGACATACCGCCCTTCTGGGCGACGCGGATCCCTAGGCCAGGCCGCTGGAGCCTGCTGGGGCCTCCTGGCTACAGGGAGCAGCGAGGAGCGGAAGAGCTGGCCCCGCGGTCGCCCAGATACCTGGATCTAAGCTACAAACCAGTTAACGTAAAACGGTCGCTATGGCAACGTGCGTAGCCGCCCCAGGCTGCGGCCCGGAAGTGAAGCTGGCTTCCCTGGAGTCTGCGCTTCTCAAAGGAGGCGGGGGGGGGGGGGAACGGGGGCGGGGAGAGCGTTAGAAGAACGTTTCCGATTGGTTGGAAAACAACAGCAGCGTATCAGAAGATACCTCTCCACCCATTGGTTCGGAGTTGCTAAGGCCGAGAGTAGAAGTATAGGCAGCTTTTGGCTGGAGACCCTGGTAGGAATCTGTGTGTTCCCTCCTGGGAAGTCCCTGGGAGCCAAGCCTTAGAAATGGCGGAGTGAGGGACCACAGAGTCGACAGAAGGCCTCAAAGACTTCATTTCGTCGTTGTATCCCAGCCCCTCAGTCCCAAACACTGAGAATCGCTGACCCAGAAGCCTTTGTAATTGAAGGGTTGTCTGAAAATACAAAGCTGACCAAAGCTCTGTAAGACTTGCTGTTAGGCTCTGCGGCCAATTTGCTTCCTGTAGCTCCAGACAGGTCTTTAAAAGTTCAAGCACAAATGGACATAACTACAATTAGCTTTTCAAGGGTAAAATCGAAGTTAATATTCATCTTACATCAAATAATTCCAACTCAGTTTCCAGGTTGTGATCTATTGTGGAATGAGTCTTCAAAGGTCATCATCAAGGTTCTCGGAGTCCTGGGATATCTTCATACAACATGGTTCCGTGAATGGAGTCCTTATAGGCTTATGTACAAGTATGAAACCTTTTTCACTTAGTATGTTTTCATCTTTTCAAATAAGAAAAAGTGCTTCCCTTATAGATGCGAAGTATTCTATAAACCACTCTTTAGTCTATTTTTATTTCAAAATGTTTGTATGCACATATATCTTACTTGGATGCATAAATATGATCATTAGTGTGCAATTTTTTTCTTGTTTTGCCTGTATGGTTTGGGAGTGCTATTAAGTATTCAACCATTGTTTGCTTCTGCAGACTGCTGAAATAAACATGCATGTGTTCTAGTCCCAGTCAGGGTGCCAGATCCTGTCCCGGTTGCTCCTCTTCCAGTCCAGCTCTCTGCTGGGCTTTTTAAAGTATTTTTTTTTTTTTTTTGAAAGGCAGAGTTAGAGAGAGAGAGATCTTCCATCTACTGATTTAATCCCCAAATGGTTCCAATGGCTGGGGCTGAGCCAAGTTGAAGTCAGGAGCCTGAAATTCCATCTGGGTCTCCCATCTGAAGGCAGGGGCCCAAGTACTTGGACCGTCATCTGCTGCTTTCCCAGGCACATTAGCAGGGAGCTGGATTGGAAGTGGAGCAGCCAGGACTCCCCTAATCAGTGCTCATATGGGAAGAAGGCATTGCAAGAAATGTCTTAATCCACTGAGCCACATTGCCAGCCCCACGAACTGCTGGGTTTATTTGTTATTCCACCGGAAAGATTTTAATACAATTGCTAAATGAAAGAATGTATACCTTGATTTATTTGACCATCGTTAACTACTAGATTTGATTATTCCTACATAGCTTTCAAATGATTCTGTCAGCAAAATCCACTAGAAAAGAATTTAGGATAAAGAGACTTCAGAAAACAGTCTAGGGCTAGCACTGCCAAAGTCTTAAATGCCAGCATCCCATATAAGTGCCACTTGGAGTCCCAGCTGCTCCACTTCCAATGCAGCCCCCTGCTAATATATTTGGGAAAGCAGCAGAGGATGGCTAAAGTCCTTGGGCCCCTGCACCCATGTGGGAGACCTGGAAGAAGCTTCTGGCTCCTGGTTTCCATTCCCAGCCATTGTGGCCATTTGGGAAATGAAGCAGCAGATGGACTCTCTCTCTCTCTCTCCCTCCCTCCCTCCCTTTGTCTCTCTCTGTAATTCTGACTTACAAAAAAGTCTGCAACCAAGGGAAGAGAAGGAGCCTTTAGGCTCAGAATGATCAAAAGGTTATATATAAGGTTCCTGCTCAGGTTCCTATCCAGGCCTACTATACAGATGAGGGATGCTAGCTTCAGAGATAGCACTGTAACCTGATGGCTTCATACTCAAAAGTGACCTCAGTTCATGGTCAGGCCTGGATGGCAAAAATGGGACTTTTGGGGGCTGTCCATCTCAGCAGTTGAATCAGGAACGTGCCTAGGCACAGACCACAAACACAGAGCATAACAGAGTAAATGTGTAACGGCAAGCCAGCAAATAGCAGCTGAACTCTGTTTTGAGCTTTAGGCCCATTTCCCACTTAAGGTCCGTCTTGAAAGTTCAACTTTCCCTGTCTTCCAATTCCAAACAGTTTACTGCATGATATTTTTGTTTTGGAGTTTATGTCTTTTTTCTGATTTAACTTTTTAATTAAGAATGCACATCATCTCTGATCCCATACATGAGAACTTGGAGTGAATTCCTCCTGTACTCAGAAATGTTATAACTTTATTGGTAGCTGCCATGTGTGACTTGCCCTAACTCCTGGACTGCAAAATTGTCAGATAACTGGGTCCAGGTTCTGTCCAATGTAAGAATTTGAGGATAAGACATAGGTAAAGATCAAGAGAAACAAGATGATTTGCATGCAAAGCAAAGGTACACACTCAAGAGGGAGAGTGGGCACACTGGAATAAGCTGCACTCAGTGAGGTTTGGGTCCACCCCGGAAGTGATCTGGAGGCATAGAGGGTGGTGTCTGGGGCATGGTTAAATTGAATATTTAAAGGGGGCAGATTTGGGGGCAGACCTTGAGGTTTTACCCATTTACTTGCTCTTTTTGGAAAGCTCAGAAGTGTGATGATATCAGGTCCATAATAGGAGTAGAAGTGTCAGCCATGGTAATTTTATTATAAAGACATTACAAGCAGCTAAAGGTTGTTGCTGGAATGAAGTCTCCAGCTGCAACCATGTTGGTTATTTTGGGCCGCAGCTGGTTCAAACCAGCAGTTTCAAGGACCCCTCAATTTTCTGCTGCTTAGAAATGGGAAGTGGTTGGCTGGTGCCAGTGGGGCTACAGCACAAGCTGGACTGCAGCTAGGGGCTGGTGATGTCAGCTCTGCTTGCTAGCTGCCTCCTTGCCTTCATTAAAAATACATGTAAACTCGGGGCCAGTGCTGTGGCTCACTTGGTTAATCATCTGCCTGCGGTGCTGGCATCCCATATGGGCACCGGTTCTAGTCCCGGTTACTCGTCTTCCAGTCCAGCTCTCTGCTGTGGCCTGGGAGGGCAGTGGAGGATGGCCCAAGTGCTTGGGCCCCTGCACCCCCACAGAAGACCGGGAAGAAGCACCTGCAAACATATGCTATAACACCCTGCATTCTGTCAGCTCCTTTTCCACACACTAAGTACCCAGGCTGCAGAGAGGCCAGGCCTGGAAGCTTGCAAGCCTGGCATCTCCACACTGGTGCCGCTCATTAGCATGGAGGAAGTTCACCAACGCTCACTGGGTGTCTGCTGTGGATGTCAAGCCAGATTCTACCAAAAATCACTGATGCAAAGGTACAGCTGAAACTTTAATTAGACTATCTTCTACAGAGGCCTACTTCCACCCTAATTGAGCTAGTGGACTTTAATAATTTTGAACCTTGGTGCCAGCGCTGTGCCTCAGGTTAAGCCTCTGCCTGTGGTACTGGTGTCCCATGTGGATACCAGTTCAAGTCCTGGCTGTTCTACTTCTGATCCAACTCCCTGCTATTGCTTTTGGGAAGGCAGCAGAAGATGGCCCAAGTGCTTGGGCAGGTGCACCCACTTGGGAGACCCAGATGAATTTCCTGGCTCCTCACTTCAGCCTGGCCCAGCTCCTGCTGTTGTGGCCACTTGGGGAGTAAACCCAAGTTTGGAAGGTTTCTCTCTCTCTCTCTCTCTCTCTCTCTCTCTCTCTCTCTCTCCCCTCCAAATAAATAAGCACATCTTTAAAAAAATAATTTTGGAACTCACTCACTATGTGGTGAATATCCCTCATGTGTTGAGTGTGTTTTCTGTGAAATTTGTTCACATTACTTACCCCCTCTTTAAGTACTGTGAATCTAAGGGAAATTGTATGGCAATCATACTTTGATCATGTCCTTTTTTGCCAGACATAACGTTACTTCATTGTATTAAGCCCATAGACAACTATGTAATGAATGCACTTGTACATATGTTCCTGAAACACGTTCTCATTGTTTCCTCTGAATAAATTCTTCACGGGAAAATTACTGAACAGATTTTTAAAAATATCTTTGACAGGGGATGGCATTTGTGGTACAGTGAGTAAAGCCACTGCCTCCAGTGTTGGCTGACTGTTCTATTTCTGATCCAACTCCCTGCTAGTGACCTGGGGAAAGCAGCAGAAGATGGCCCAAGTGCTTGGGCCCCTGTTACCCATGTCAGAAACCCAGATGAAGCTCCTGGCTCCTGGCTTCAGCCTGGCCCAACCCTGGCCACTGTGGCCATTTAGGGAGTGAACCAGCGAATGGAAGAGCTGTGTGTGTGTGTGTGTGTGTGTGTCTGTGTCTCTGTGTAACTCTGACTTTCAAATACATCTTTAAAAAAAAGCAAAAGGAAGTATCTTGGACATCTGCTAAGTTAAAAATGATACATTATGGTAATGGCATTGTGATATAGTGGGTCAAACTGTTGCCTGCAATGCCAGCATCCCATATAAGCACTGGTTGGAGTCCTAGCTACTCCACTTCTGATCCAGCTCACTGCTAATGCACCTGGGAAAGCAGCAGGTGATATTTCAAGTATTTTAACCACTGACATCCAAGTGAGAGACCAGAAGGAGGAGGCTGTAAAAATACTATCTAACTGCATTCCACAGTACTGGGCACTAGAGTCTTTCCAGAGCTTTTCAATTTCCCTGGAGGCTTTCCCTTCTTTTGTTTTCTTTTAAAGTTCTTTTTAAAGGATTTATTTATTTATTTGAATGAGTTACAGAGACAGAGGGGAGACAGAAGGACAGAGAGAGAGAGAGAGAGAGAGGGATCTTTCATCCACTGGTTCATTCCCCAGATGGCCACAATGGCCAGACCTGGGCCAGGCAGAAGCCAGAAGCCAGGAGCTTCATCCGGGTCTCCCATGTGGGTACAGGGACCCAAGAACTTGAGCCATCCTCCGCTGCTTTCCCAGGC